CTAGTTACTTCATGAAGACAGTTAAGGCTCAATATAAATTCTAACTCATTAGCTCAATACTGTCTCAATCCCAGTGTAAATTGTTCAGAAGTAGGTAATGAAAATTCAGTCCAAACTCTCCCGCAATCAAACAAAGCAGTTTTATGAAACAATGAAAAGAATCAATTATATGAGATACTTTTATTATTGTACAAGAAATTGTCGCAACCTTTATGCAGTGTACGTAGTTGAGCTGGATTTGAATCTCATCACTCCTGATAAGTGAACATGTTTCCTTACATTTTGAGAACTCAGAGACTCTCAAAAATCATCAACCTGCTTTCAAACACATACGTAATTCAAGGAGCTAAATCTTAGCTGGAAAAATATTTTTTTTCTTCCAATTTTCTTTTTTTTATAATTTTCTGCTTTTTGCCACTGTGACATACACATTTCACTCATTCTGAATATTCATCCATTAAAAAATATGACCCTGGAAATGAGAGTTAAACACAAAAAGTGAGTTCATCTCGCATATTTTAGCGAACATGTAGGTGTTGATGCAGATGCAGATTCAATAAAGGAAGGCAGGTAGTTCCAAACAGTCATTCATCCCATCTTTAGGGCATGTGTCCTTAAAACAGTAAAGCTCTTTTTATGGTACTTAGGACTTCATTAAAAAACAAGCACCGAAAATCTGACCACACAAACGTCTAATACGGAGTGGGACCAAGCCCAATCTTAACTCTTGCATCTGTTAAGAAAAGTCAAAGAGGGGACTTTGGTCTGGCAGATCTTGCAGTGGAGCACACACTGCTTGATGACCTTGCTCTACATTCACACTGGACGTGGTACTGTCCGTCCTGCTGTGGCTAACGCGAAGGCAGCAAAGGCCCCCTACGCTGGCTAGTTTAGTACGAGTGTGATCGCACTGCAATTCAGATGAAGTCAGCACTGCCTGGTGATCAGGTAATGCCCAAATGAAGAGGGAAAGACCACAGGAGACAAATGGCATGAATGGCCTCTGGGCATGCTTTCATCTGTACAGTAACCGCAGAAGAAGCTTTTACAAATGGCTTAGACTTAGATGGCTTAAGTAAGATGAAACCGGGCCAGAATGTCTTGTTTTGGTAGCTACAAACTCTCCTGTTGTCATCATCAATGAAAATTTTTTTGACATTTATTTTTTGTTCTTTATAAAAAACAGAGACAGAAAATGATATGTTTGTAAAATGTTTTTCACACTTGGAGTAAAATTCTCTAATTTACATGTAAAGTTATAATGTTCTTAACAAGGTCACCATTGTATAAATCCTTTAAGCTTATTGTTTTGTACTTTCCCATCAAAACACGATGACATCCATATGTCATATATATATAAGAATACATATAATACATAAATATATATTAGTAATTATATGAATATTTCTTAACATTATAAGCAAGGAAGATTTTTTGCATTTTATAGGGCTGGTAAACTCCCAGTAATAAGATATTTTCCCTATTTATTAGCAAGATCATCTACAGTACAGTTAATTTCATGTTACATGCCGACATTCGATATGGAGATGGAGTCAATTCTGCTGTGACCCTTCCTAACCTGGTCACAGAATTTTTCACAGTCAGTCATAGATTGCCAATTATGGCACTGCTTATGTGGCTCAGAAATTAGACCTTTTCTAAATCAGTACCCCCTTCTGCCTCAAAATTACAGTGTCTATTGTTTCAGAGTGATATTGAACCCAATAATAAATTGGAAGAGAGAAGACAAGCTTCAGAAAGCGAAGTATTGAGGCTAGCGTTTAGTCAGTGACAGATTCTTTAATACTTGTAGTCTGGCATCGTCTGTCAAGATTTGTTTACAAGGAAAATGATTCATAGCCAGAATCCAATCCATAACATTAGAAACCACTTTCAAACTACAGGCTGTTGCGCTCCTGAACACTTTAAGTGGACAGACACAGATACAAATAGTCTTGGCCATTTGCTGTGTTTTTCTTATTTTAGTTAAGCGGAACAATTTTCCTCTTAGAGGAAACAGTTATTTTCATTAATGTCAAAGCAAAATAAGTGTTATTCCTTAGACACTACTCACCGTCTGCACAACTAAGTGCAAGCTACCAGTTCTGTCACTTTTTACATTTGATTTTGATTTAATGCGTACAGTGGTTTCAAAGAGTATTAAAAATCTGTTGCCTTCTTCCTCTTCACTTGTTGCCCTGCTGGAGGCTTATGTTTTTCCAGTTTCCATCAGCGGTTGTCAAGTCTTTGTAATAGGATTAAAAGCTTGGACACCTGATATCCCTGGGTGCTGCAGTTCACCCTCATAAAAGCTGTTTGCTTTAAATTGAGAGAAAATCAGTTTTTAGTGGCATAATTAATTAAATTATGCAAAGTGTCCCAGATTCAGCATAACACTTTCTGAAGCAGCAATTGGAAGCTCTACATTGCATTCAAACTGCATTTCAATTGACGCTGCACTAGGCTGACCATAGGGTAGCATTTTCAAGGCTTTCAAGCACAAGGGATCCAATTTTGAAATGCAGATGCTTAATGTTGAGTGCTCAAACCCCATACATGTGCACTTGAATAGGCAATTTGGTAGCCAACTACGTATTTCACGTGCGATAGTGCTGATATGAGCACTCAAAAATTGAAATAGAAGTTCCAAACGTAAGTACACATGCTTAAAAACCAGGCTCAGATTGTCTCACATTTACTCATCATGGACAACCTGATGGAACAAAATTGACAACACATTTTCATAATTTAAAAGGTGGACTACAGAATCCAGTGTTTTCC